AAATAATTATCATTTTTATATAATTTTTATCTTTCGAGTGGTTAGAAATAATTTTTTACAAATTAAATTGAAACAGCCATAGTATGTTATTTCTTTTATTTCTTTTATTATATGCCTCAAAAAAAAAAAAAATCTACTACTTAATTCATTATTCTTTGTTAGTTTAATTCATTACTTGTTAGTATAGTTTATTTTTAATTGTTCAATCATTCAATATTTACATAACATGTTAATTTGTCTCGTTTATTTTATTTTATTTTAGGTTTCATTAAAAAAAAAAGCAAAAGAAAAATAATGAGAATTGCATGTGGTACATCAGTGGGGCAGACTTGTGCTTTAATATCTTATTCTTATTCTCATGTTGGTTTCACGGGTATGTGTGTATTTACTTTTGGTGTGTACAGGATATGAGTAGACGGCTATCCACCCGAGCCTCCAAAAATGCCAGAGGTCCGTCCTCCTCGCCACCATCACTGCCACCGTCACCACCATCCCCGCCGCCACCACCACCGGTTGAGTTGCCACCACCGAAGTGGGCTTCACGCCCGCTTCACAAGCTCACACAGTTCAACATTACATATTTTCAGTGTGACTCGGTCATTTCTTGGGTCGTTGAGCAGCTCCGCTTTCGCCAACAGTTAGGCCTTTGAACGGTTACGGCGTCTACTTATCCTCGTTTGGTTTTACTCTTCTACCAGAACATGTATGAGTCACTCACTGAGGTAGGACTGCTGTCCACTAGTGATGGTCATCTCGTCAGCATCACAAAATCCATAATTGCCGATGTGTTAGGGTTCTTTTCCAAGACGGAACACTAGCCTTTCTTGGAATTTGATGGCCGACAACCCATACACAACCTTATCTAAGAGTACTTTCCTGGAGCCCATGGTGACACAAGTTACACATGCCTGCACCGGAGCAAGCTACTTGGCCGCTTGTTATTCATTGACTCTGTGGTATATAAGAATGCCCTTCCATTTGGGCATAAAACTGAGCTCTGCTTGGAGTTTGTTCGGGTCTTACATGGTTATCAGCATGGCTATCAGGTCTCGCTTGCTCACGTCATCTAGATGCATATGCACAAATTTCTGCAGGAGGCCATTCAGCCTCAACCTATGCAGAACCTGACTTGGCCCCTGCCATTTGCCAACTTGTTCATGCTTGTCTTAGAGCTGAACGGCCTCTCAATTGATCCAACTGAGGAGATTGACACAGTTTATCCGACTTTTGGGCAGCGGGAATGGCAGCATAGCGTAACCCACATCCCGCAACAAGTTGGTGCCCCAGTTGATAAGGCCTAAGACCCCGTCCACGACCAACCACCTCCTTCTGCCTCCCTTGTGCCACCCCAAGGGAACCCATTTTACATGACTCGCGAGGAGTACTTACAGCTTCAGCACTCTGTAGATCAGGTCCACAATACTCTTCACGATCACCACCAAATTCTCATGGGGTTATGCATGGATTTTCAGGCCCATCGGGACTATTCTCAAGCGGCTTTCGAACAGCTCAACGCTTGCCAGCTCGACATTCAACAGTCAGTTGCATCATTGCAATCTAATTTTTATACATATTGAGAGTCAAGCTAGCAGCGTGTTGACCAGCTCAGCACCCGGGTTCAAGACGAAGCATTCGAGACGCGGTCATTGATGACCACCCCGTCATCCACCCACCCACCCCCCACCACCACCGTCACCCACCCCCCCACCTACCACCAACCGCCGCCACCACCTACCACTACCTGCCATTCCGGCACCCACCTGCCACCATCACCCACCACCCGCTGCCACCACCACCACCACTACCCACTCGCTACCACCCACCACTCGTCACCATCACCCACCCACCCATCACTACCACCACCGACCACCACCCACTACCCACCACCTACCGTCACCACTTTCCACTACCATCTTCCGCTACCACTTGCCATTTCTCACTTTTTTTTTATATTTTTAAATTTTGTTAAACATTTTGTCAATTACCAAACGCGTTTGTAATTTATGTTTTTCTAAAAATAAACAAAAAACAGTTTATAAAATTTTTGTAAATATAAACAGAAAACATAAACGTTACCAAACAGACCCTAACCATTTCATTTTCAATTTTCAATTTTCAATTTATATTTACAAAAATTTAAAAAACTGTCATATAAACTTGTTTGATAATTTTTTTTGGTTTATAAATGATTGTCTTAGTTTGAAAATTTGAGGAAAAAATGTAAATTCAAAAAATAAGTTTACGTTGGTTTTTAAATAGAAATTTGAAAATTTTACTAGCAAAATTTTTTTTCAATTAATTTTTTTTTCAATTAATTTTTTTTCAAATAATTTTTTTTCCAATTAATTTTTTTGGTAAATTATACTAACACCCCTTGAGATTTATGTTTATTACAGTTCCCCCCTCACATTTTGGAAATTACATTTCCCCCCTAAGGTTTAAAGTTTCATTACGGATTTTCTCCTTTAGCAATTTAATCTTTTTAAATACTAATTTTGTCCTCAGTGGGTAAATTACATTACCACCCCTCACATTTTAGAAATTACAATCCCCTCCCTAAGGTTTAAAGTAGCATTACCAATTGCCCCCTTGGTTAGTATCAGTTAGAAAAAAAATTCATTGAAAAAAAATTAATTGAAAAAAAAATTTATTAGTAAAATTTTTAAATTTATGTTTAAAAACCAACATAAACTCATTTTTTGAATTTACGCTTTTTCTTCAAATTTACAAACTGAGACGTCCATTTATAAATCAAAAAAAGTATTGAACAAGTTTTTATAACAGTTTTTAATATTTTTGTAAATATAAATTAAAAACTGAAAATGATGGTAAAAATGTTGTAAAATTAATAAATAATTAAATAAGTTACCAACATAAGAAATGACTTATTAAGAGATTCTTAGGCTATGTATGGTTTGATTTTTAAAAAAAAAATAAAAATTAAAAATTAATTTAGTTAAAAAATAAAAAATAATTATCCCTTTTATATAATTTTTATCTTTCGAATTTTTAAAAATATTTTTTTATAAATTTAATTGAAACAGTTATGGCGTTGTTTTAAAAATCGTTGTTTAAAAGGTTTTCAAAATATTTTATAGGTGTACTAACATATTTCCCCTTTAAGCCGACACGTTTTTCATTCTTCCATTTCTCTCAGTCCTGAGATAGATCTAGGGTTTTTTTTGTCCCCTCATCACTCCTCTTTCTTATGGTGAAAGTTCACTAGATCGAGCTCTCTATCCGGCTCCGACTCACGATCACGATCTCCATCTTGGCTCAAAGCTCTGATTCACGATCGTAATCTCTATCCGGCTCTCTCCATCTTGGCTCAAAGCTCTCGATCAATCCGATTTGAAGATTAATTTTGTGAGTCTCATTCTCTGATTTTTTGATTGTTTATATGCGAACTCAGATCTGTATCTACGATCTTAGATCTATTTGATATATATATGTGTACACTGATTTTTTGATTGTTTATATTCATTTTTGTTTATTTTGTTCATTTTTGCTTCAATGGGTTCAGAAAATATTGATGAAACAGAGAAGAAAATTTATACAGACTATTTTCTTTCTTTGTTTCTGGCTAATAGTAAAAAGTATTCATGAAAAATCAAAGATTACATCTTGCGTTTAATTATTCTTTTGCAAACATGGATTGATTATAAATTTATATAGAGATTTGAAAAGGTAAAAATAAAAAAGGTGATATAAAAGTAAATGAAATATAAGTTAATATAAGTGATAAATAAGTGTGAACATTACACAAAAATGTTTGTTGGTCCATCACATTAATCAACATTGACTTCATCTTTCTGAATGGTTGTGGTTTTGTACAGTATAGGTTCTGTCAGTGTTTGATTTTTACAAAGAATGTTACGTTTCTTTTTCCATACGATACAATATGTATCATACGATTTTGACTACACTGCCTGTGGTTTAGTTGGATTCTTGGCATGATCAAATCCAAATCCAACATGATCTTATTTTATATAGTTACAAGTTTGCAGAATATATTAAATATTTTAGTTTTTTATAAGGTAGGTAATGCGAAGTGGGTATTGGTTGACCTGTTTACCAAAAAATAGATATTTGGTTGCATAGTTTTGACTGCTCTTTAGTGTGTAAGAGCATCTCCAGAAGCCTCTCTATTCCTCCATATTTGTTACTATAGCTAGCTTGGAAGGGTAAACGATGGCTCCAGCAGACTCGCCCAAGCATCGCTAAGATGATTGTGAGCTACGGTACCTCGCCAGGACAAGCGAGGTACTGTTCATGCACCTTTTAATTTTTTATTTGTTTTTGGCTCCTGAACTTTGATTTTGGCGGTAAAATTTTTCATTTTTGTTTATTTTGTTCATTTTTGCTTCAATGGGTTCAGAAAATATTGATGAAACAGAGAAGAAAATTTATGCAGACTATTTTCTTTCTTTGTTTCTGGCTAATAGTAAAAAGTATTCATGAAAAATCAAAGATTACATCTTGCATATATTTGAAATTGTTGAATTTGGTTTAGTATTTGATGTTTCTTCGGATTTGGATAACATAGAACACAATTTAATGTTGTTGAATTTGGTTTCCTGGGCACGTCTTTGGAAACTAGAAATGATTTCATAAATCTCTTGCCTCCTTGTATGATTCAAGCTTCATACATGATAAAAAAAAAAAAAAAATTAAAAAAGGCTTCATGCTTGATAAATGGGTGGCACCGTGGAAATTTATTCTTAATGATAAGGAAGAAATTTAGAACAAAATAATTTGTAAGTAGAAGTAAGAAAATATTTAGGATGACTAAATGCTGATATCAAGTAATGAAGTTATTGATTGATTCCTTGTGGATGAGATGGAACATAGTAGATAAGCAGAAGAGGACATGATTCTGTGTTATTATTTGTTTTCTGAAATATGTAGATTTTGTTTCCACAAAAAGTAACCTTTGAAGTTAGTCTATTTGTTTTTCATTTGTGGGCTCATTCTAGGATTTCAAGAAAGCACATAATTGGAACCATTCACTAGTTCTGATAATTATGTGTTATATGCAAATTATCGAAACAATAAAGTATTCATACTCACTTTTCTGTTTTCACATGCAAAGGGCAGTGAGTATCACTCCATCAATAGCACATCAACTGATTCAGGTACCAAATTGCGACTCTTTATCAGCTATTTGCAACATGGAATAGTATTTAGTGTTTTTCCATCACCTACTGTGAATTAAAAGCACCAATTTGCCATTTTTTATAATCTTTGATTCTTTCAACTGTTGATTTTTTAGATTCTGAGATCAGAGAACATTGAATTTGTAGTATCTCCATGTGAAGCTGATGCACAATTAGCATACCTATCCAGCCTAGAAGCAGAAAAAGGTGGAATTGTAGCAGTGACTTCAAAGGACAGTGATCTACTGGCATATGGCTGTCCAACTGTAAGAAATTCAACAGAACTTTGATATTGATGACTCAAGCCTCATTTTTAGCACTAATTGTATTTTTATGTTTTGCATTGGTTGCAAGCAGGTTGTCTTCAAGATGGACCGCTATGGCAATGGTGAAGAGATAGTGCAAAACAAGGTTTTTTAGTCTGCATCTCGTGTGCCTTCCTTCCAATGTTTTGATAAAGAACTTTTCATAGGTGATTTGAGACACTTCAAATTTATTTACAAACTTATAACACTAAAAATTATACAACCCTTTGCGGTTCCTTTCTATCATATATAAAAACTAATTTGAGACAGGAGACGCACTTATCTTCTAGCTTTCTCACAGGCATGTGCGCTTAGCTGGCTGCGCTTTTCTTCCATCTGTTCCTGGAATTGGAATTACGAAAGCTTATTCTTTGGTTTCCAAGTACCGGAACTTGGATCGTGTAAGAGTGCCTTTTCTCTTTGTGAAAATGAATTGCATTTCATTTTGTACTTGAATTGCTTTCACTACATTTCTTATTACGGTAAGAGAAGATATAAATAAGAAAAGACATGCTTCAACTCCATTGAAATAGTTCTGTTATTATATATGCAGTGTGCACTCTTTTGGAATAATTGCTTTGAAAAAACCTGGAACCTAGATAGTTCTTTCATAACCAAGTGAGACTTCTCTTCAATTTTGCCATTTGGTGAGTTGAAATCTTCAGATTCAGTGCTCTCTAGACTGAAGTGTTAGTGAAAAAAGTGTTAGTGAGCTCATATATTTCTTAGTCTGTCTGTTATTGGTACAATTGACGTGGTGTGGACCTTGCCCTCTATTTCTTTCCATAATCAGTACATGTGTGCATGTAGGTGAGTATTTTAATGAAGCAACTATGCTGTTAAATAACCAGCATGACTCTGTGTGCTGCAATTGCTAATCAAAGAACAAACAAATTGTTTTCTCACTTTTGATAATGCCTTCCAGCCCTAAATCTGGATATTACAACATCTCACAGTCAGCTTCCACCAGAAAATAAAGAATCCATAATTTAATAAAATTACAGTCAATTAATATAACAATATCTTATATATTGCTGCACCTCAAGTTTTGGCCTGGGTTTGAAAGGAGAATATAGCATGCATAGCAGTGAGAAAATGACTGCTTTAGTATGTGTTACAACTTAATAATGGGAGTTTAATTCATTGTTCAAAACAAGAATAATAGCATATTTCAGTTGATAGTTCTGATTAATTCTTCCTTCGGTTCTTGCTTTCAGATTTTCTGATTATCTGAAAATCACCAAGTCGACCATTTCTTTTCTTGAAAGGCTTGCGGAGATACCAGAAAACAGAGTTTCGGCAAAGCATTACGGTTAATTTTCAAGTTAAATTCTTTCAAGTAAAATTCTAATTGCGAACATATAAACTTCTAATACTTCGTTTTCCAAATTTTCCACATTTTGCAGTAGCTTGATTTGTAAGATTGATGATGATTGAGATTGAATCTATTGAGATTGAATCATACAAGGGTCTAATGATTGCAGTGGGCAATGCTACATCTATTTCAATACTAATGGTAGCAATGTTGAAGTGAAAATCGTAAGCAATCACATGACCATTAAATGGTTTATCATTCATCACATAAACACCAACCTCAACCTGCAATAATAGTAAGTCATACCCACCCAAAAAAATAATAATAAAAAACATTGAATAGTGTTGTACTATGCCAAGTATTTTATAATTTTAAAAAAAAAACAACAACAATAACAACCACCACCTTAATGTCATCTGGTATAGCATTTGCATCAATAGGTGATCTTAGGAGAGTTGCAGAAGTTAAAATGGTACTGATGTATGTTCCATTACATCCTCGCATTCTATTATAGTCCCAGAACATGCAAACATCATCTTCCCACCTAGACATTGAAATAAATAAGCAAAGTCTCTACCTCAGTGTATAGCATTTGTATAAACATGAAAGCACATGCAAGAATGAAAACTTTTATTGTCAATTAGTAGAGTGTAGTCTATTAAATATATTTTTATAATTGCATTTTAATCTTAAATTTAAATAGTGTTGCAATTACAATTATATTATAATCCTAACATTACACTTAAAAGGTGTGATCTAAAGTTTTTAATCACACTTAAAAGGTGTGATCTAAAGTTTTTAATCACACTTAAAAGGTGTGATCTAAAGTTTTTAATCACACTTAAAAGGTGTGATCTAAAGTTTTTAATCACACTTAAAAGGTGTGATCTAAAGTTTTTAATCACACTTAAAAGGTGTGATCTAAAGTTTTTAATCACACTTAAAAGGTGTGATCTAAATGTTTTTAATCACACTTAAAAGGTGTGATCTAAATGTTTTTAATCACACTTAAAAGGTGTGATCTAAATGTTTTTAATCACACTTAAAAGGTGTGATCTAAATGTTTTTAATCACACTTAAAAGGTGTGATCTAAATGTTTTTAATCACACTTAAAAGGTGTGATCTAAATGTTTTTAATCACACTTAAAAGGTGTGATCTAAATATTATTAATCACACTTAAAAGGTGTGATGAAAGCATTTTTTAATGACACTTAAAAAGTGTGATTAAAAATGACCATTTTTAATCACACTCCTAAAGACCACACTTTAATAAAACTTAAAAGGTGTGATTAAAAAACATACATCACACCAAAAAAGTGTGATCTTTATCTATATTTGTAGTAGTGAAAAGAGATAGAGTATGAAGATAGCATGTGAAATATGGAGAGACATCACAATGGATTTGGGGTTACTAATGTACATGATGCATAACGGTGACTGTTGTGTGGTCCATGTGACTCGTTTCGGATCTTATTTTGATGATCCAAACCATTCAAATTAAAGAAAATATCAAGAAGAATACATCTGCAAAAAATTAAATTGATCGGATATCAATAACCCTTTTATCAAATCACATTTGTATTCAATTTGATATATACATATTCATTTTTTTTAAAAACACATGTGCTTTGATGAAGAGATTATCGATATACAATCAACGCGATTTGTTATAGATATATTCTTCTCAATTTAAAATTTAAATGGTCTAGATCATCAAAATAAGACTCAAAACAAGTCTCATAGACCGCAAAACAGTCACCGATGTGCATGAACACAACAGTGGCACCATGTTCGGCTAGAAATCACTATCCCAAAACCGCATGTGCCTACTTTCATACAAGTTTGAATGAATACATACAACTTTAAGATTTAACTCAAAAAAAATTTAACAGTCTAATTCACAATGAATAATTGTAGCAGACGGAGTGTCAAGTTTGTATTAGATGCCCAAAATTTAAAGAAAATAGTAATATAATATGTACACGACACTATGGAGTGAGAGAAAATTGAGAAGAAAGATAACCAATCATTTTTGTATCTTCAAATAGTAGAGAGTTTGTTTTTATAGATTTTTTTTTGTAACTGATGCTTTGGTTCTTTTAAATCTCAAACTTTTTAGATTTAAATTTAAATAGGCACCTATTCAATTTAAAGTAGTGTCTATTAATCACACAACGTTTGATTTAAAATTCCAACACAAATTTAATTTTATTTTAAATTTTTTAAATGATTATATGTAATTTATATTTATTCATAAAGAAAATTAGTGATAAATCTAATTTGGCAATTTCTTGAGGTGTTAGGTCCAATGGATTTTTTTGATTTTTTTTAGTGAGAAGTATACTCTTTGTGAAATATTGTGGTGAAAAGTATATTTTGTATTTTTAAGACATTTTTTCCCCAATTTGGCCCTTAAACCTATCTGTTCAAATCTGTATCTATCTATCAAATTGTTTTCTATCTGTTCAAATTTGTATCTATTTGTCAAAATAATTTTAATAACTTTTAATCTATCTATTGAAATTCACTAATTCTATTTTTTTATCTGATGAAATTCAACAAGCTTGTTTTTTTCTATTTGTTTAATTTTTTATTCTGTCTGCTCAAATTCTTTTTCTCTCTTTACAAACCCACTATCTGTTCAAATCTCTTTATCCCACTCTATCTCAAATATTTTCACCAACATACCATCTGTTCAAATCTTTCTCTCTCTTTATCTCTTCACAAACACACCTAATTTTTTTTTTCTTATCTATCAAAATGAAGAACACAAACAGTGCCAAAAATTGAATTTATCTGTCGTAAACATTAAATACGCAAATTAATTAAACGCACATTTTCAAACATTTTATCTATGTTAATGAAAAATAGTTTTCTATTAGCTTTGTGTGTTTGGATGCTGAGAAAGAAGACCTGTGACAAGGTCCCAAAATTAAACATCTCACATGTATCTTAGGTCTTCTTTCTGTGGACTCTCTAGCACGAACAACACCACTCAACCCTCGTTGGAAACCTTGGACTCCAACTTGAGACCGGCAAGCACCAAATCTAACACCGATAAATGAGTGGGGAGCACCAAATCCAACAGCTACTACAGCAGCACTGGCGGTGCTGGAACTGAGGCCGCTGCCCAAAGACAAGCTTTTTTTTTAGGGAGAGAGAGAGGCTGACCGATTGGACGGCAGCGATCTCACTGCCGGAAACAGTGACCATGACACTACGCATCATGTCCTTGAACTCAAAGAAATCAACATGGCCATCGTTGTTACGATCGACAAACAAGATCATCCGTTCAACTCTGTCTATGGTTCTGTACTGGCAACACTCGTTTTTGAGCTATTCTTGAGCGTGTTCGATGAGGTTGTAGAGATCGCTCACTCTGGTTATTAGCTCTCAAAATCAAGGAGAGATAGAGGGGGTTCAAGGTTTCTTAATTCAGTCTCTGCATTGAGAGAGAGAGAGAGAGAGAGAGAGAGAGTTAGGGATTTGAAGATGACAAAGGTGATTGACAGTGATATTGCACGACCACGGTGAAGGTGTTGACAACGAGGCTGCTAAGCCCATCGAAGATTGTGACCAAGCTCCACGGCAGCGAGATCGTCGTTGATCTGGTGATGAAGAAAGAGAAGAAAATATGAAAAGAGAGAAGATGAAGAGAAACGGAGGGAGGAGGAGAATGAGAAGGAAAAAGAGTGGGTTTTGAGGAAATAGGTTTGAACAGATAGTGATTTTGTATGTTGTATATGTAGAGAGAATTGAACAGAAATGGGAGAATAGGTAGCTTGGTTATTTTGCAGAATCATGTCCTTATACACATAGTAATTTAGTGTGTGGCCTTTTAGACCGAAGAAATTCAAAATTGGACTTATTAACTTAGCGCCCTTATTTATATTGATATATAGAATTTTAGAAAATTAGGTTCAAGTGAACATAATTAAATGTTTAATATCACATTACATTGTATGTTATATTTATCATTTTTAGGAAAGAATAATTATTGGTGGCTATTTGACAATGGTGAAATGTGGTGGTAGACTGTGGTGGTAAAATAATGACAATATCTTTTGGTGACACTGGCATTAGTAGTGGAGATGGGGATAGGCGTAGTGGTAGCAGGGTGGGAGTGGGGGTGGTTATGTCATAATGGTACTGTTTGATACTTATGCACAAATAATTATAAATTCAATCATAATGGTATGATTTGATACTTATGCATAAACAATTATAAATTCAGTGAACATTAAATAAGAATGTTGTTAGTTTAAAAAATTTTTAACCTATATTTTATGAGTCAATTAAATTTTTAAGTGATAAGAGTTGTAATTATTAAATAGACTTAATTGATTTTAATGGGATACATTTAATTTTAAAATTTTAT